TATTATGTAGGCCAGTGACGCAGCAAGTGCACATCAAAGTTCAGCAAACTTTAATTCTCTGTGAAGTCATAATGGAAATTCACGACAATGTAAAAATGTTTCCGTGTGTGTTGCTCACAGAGTGTCAGTGACGGGCGAAAACACCTCAGAAGCAAAAATCCTTAAAACGCAGCACTCAAGAAAGCTGATGCACACTCTCCAATAAAAATAGCATGACTAATCCCTCCTCACAAATGACAAGGCCTAGTCATCTCACACACAATGACTTCAAAGCTAGGCATTTGCCACGATTCAGACCGGAGTGATGGAGCTTCATTTCTCTCCGTAGCATATAGGGTTAACTAAACAAGCAATTTCAGTGCGGCAGCATTTACTAAAAAGCTTGATGGGGCCAGCTAAGCTCCTGTGATTGGCCTTTGTGTGTAAAAGTGACCACTTAAGTGCTGTGCAGCTTCTCCTGAGTGTGTTTGTAGGCATAAGCATTTCCTCTGACTTTTTGCCTGCTTGCACTGTGCATTTGTGTGTGTCCTTGGGAACGTATTGGTGTGAGTTCCTGCTCGCTGGTGCATTTGGGGTTGATCTGCTGTGTGCGCATGTGTGCAAGAGAGCCATCTGTGTTTTTAAATGCCTTGATTTGTTGTGGTGCCGTAACAATTTAAACAAGCTTATGGTAATATGCTCATTTTTCAGCATTCACAGAGTCACATGGAATTTTCCTCAGTTAAAATATTATTTGTCATCATTGAAATTTTTTTTTTTTCTTTAGCGTAATTTTTATGCCCCCAAACATTACTTAAAAGGTGATATAATCATTACAACACTGATGTAATTTGAAATGTTTTCATTTCATTTGTTGACATTCAGCTGGATGATATATGTTTAAGTTAAAAGCATCTATCCACTTGTTAAGTGTGACAACATGTCCAGGTGCAAATGCTAACTCAGTTCCCTGAAAGAAAGTACCTAACCAGGGCATCTTTCAGGGCTAAAATGGTCTTTTAACTACAATCAAGTGATCAGTGTGGCTGTTCTTCAAAGTGTCACAATCAAGCAAAGAGAGAATCATAAGGCTGAACGAAATCAGACATAGCTGTAGTCTAGCTAGCTCAAAATTGACATCTGAAAATTATAGATGTCAGTTTTGGGGGGTTAAGCTATTTGGCATAGCTTAAAATTCTCATTAAAGTGGCGGGGCTCAACACCAGTGGTCTGGATCAAGGCCAGTTAATGTACCCTGGCAGGGCTAATGTTTGGCCAATGTGGGCTTTGCTTTGGTTTGACATGCTGGTGCTTTAATGTGAACTTTAGTTTTTTTAAGTTCTACTTACTGCACACTGTTCACATTCATACTATACAGCACATGACTTTAGAAGAACGTTTTATGCTCGTGGTCCATTTAAAAAAAAAAATGCAGCAGACAAGGCAACTAGCCAAGTGAGGAATTGTTTATGGCCAAGTACTGGCAAGGTTTTCAAAAGCCACCACAACCCTTTTAATCTCAATGCAGCTTTTGAGCATCACTTACTGACAACTGGGCTGACTGCCGTAGTGCCTGACAGATTATCAGAAGTGTAAACAGCTGTATTATAGGCCTGGCACAGCATTATCAGGTAATATGTGATTGCCAGCATTCAAGTAATTGTTTAGTTATTGATTACAAAGGATAATGCTGCTAAAATATAATGTTATGGCATTAGAAATACTTACTGGTTTATCATACAAGTAATAAGTATTATTATTATTACTACTACACACTGGTTCAGTAGCTATCCGTCACAATCAATAGCTCCCCTTACCTTACCCTATATATGTATTAGCTGAGAAAAGTTTAAAGTAAAACCAGTTAGCTCCAGCAGTGTTTTGATCTAGGAAATGAAAATCAGCATTCAGGCTGTGTCCGAATGAACTGACATATAAGCATTCAACAAGACCATTCACTACAAACACATTCACTACAGCTAAGTGGCTGCTAACCTACAAACATAGACAGATGCTGCTGCCTCAGTGTTAACAGTAGCCATGCTCTGAGTGACCTTACTTTTAAACTAAATGATTAGTCTAAAAGTAAATTAGCTTTTAATTGAATCACAAAATTAGTAAGTACTTTCTTTCTTGTTTCTTTTATTCCTAGAAGACCAGATGAAACATCAGGGATCCACTGTGAATTTTACACTCTTTATTCACAACTTCCTTGTTACAAATACTTCATATAACCTGGCCTAATCTCAAACTTGTAACCCAAAATAGTCTGAAACAATTCACTCCTTCGCTGACTACGTTGGGTCACCTTGTTTAACAGCTCTCTGAGCTCAGCTATTCAGTATTTAGTAATAGTATTTATACACATGTATCACGGGAACAACAACTTTGCTTTAAGACACAGCTAATGGGGATTTTATTAAACAAACAATTAACAAATTAAGCAAAAAGCCTGTCTAAGTTTGCTGGTTTTACATAACACATGTCACAGATAGCGCTGAGACACAAGATGTAGTTTCCTTCCTACTCTTTTGATTTAAACACTCACTGCTTTTCCTGCATATGAGTCACTTTTTAGCACCTCCATATTTCATGTGGTCTCCCCTTAAACACATCTTAAACGGCACATTAATTTCATTCATGTCATGTGTGTGTATGAGAGAAGGATGCATTTACCATCAGTGAAGGGTGAGTCCTTCAGTAGACAGGGTCAGTGCTCTAATCTGAGGAGGTGATGATATTGTGAGGATATTTAATGAGAGGATAAGAGCAGAAGCGAGAGGTGGGGGAATTAGCCTTTTTAGATATCATTAAACATTAATATTCTCGGGGGACTGGAGCACACTGGGGTCCTTTTCATTGACTTTCATGCTGCGTGCTAATAGAGTTTCACCTCTGGGGACCTCAGCACCCCTCACCCACCCCTAAGTGCAGAGCTAAAGCTAATGGAAGATCAGATCGCCATCCCGCTTCTGAGGATGAGATTAGTGGGTGTGTGTACGTGAGTGTGTATTTGCTGTATATTGTAAGATTTCGTACTCTCTTTTGCACCCTTTCTATCTTTTGCTCACATATACATGCAAGCGTAGCATACATTAAATATAGCCATTAAAAACTATTAAAATTCTAATGGACTTGCATATGTTACCATAATACTTAATCTGGGTGCCTAACATTGTCTCCTATGGCATGTTATTCTTACAGTATTAAGCAAATTGACGTTACCTGCTCTGTTGTTCAGGGGTTCAATCTGAATGCCTGTTTAAGATATTTGCATTTTCACCTGCACCTTTGTGGGATAATCTATAATAAAGTTCAGGTTCTTCTGTGGTTTATATCAGAGACTGCTATAAACGCTCTATTTCAAACAGCTTCTTTCCAGCCTTGGATCTGTGTGATGTCATGTTCAGGTGATATCCCTAATATAGCCATGTCAGCCATACAGCTATGGGTGTCAGCACTGACGTTTAACTCACTGGCATTTACAATCTTTCATTTTTCGTTTTTTTTTTTCTTTTCTTTTTTTTTTTTAATGAGAGACAACCAACAAGAGGAACATCGACTTAAAGCTTAGGGTGGACTTATAGGGGGACATTTCAGACAGTCAATAAAATGAGGGGCTGCATCAAGTAGAGATGTACCAGTCCAATATTTGGATCAGATTTCTGTCAGGTCCTGATTCAAAAAACTGGATGTGATAGTATATGCGAGTCTCGTCCTCGCAGTGTACATTACAGATTAATTTAGCACTGGTACAGGATCAGTACTCTGCGTCGGCAGATCCGTTAACCCCTGTGTCTGTATCAGCTCAGAAATGGTAATGGCTGGATTGGTGTATCTCTAGCATCATTATAAGGCAAATGAAGATCGCAAATCACCAGATACTACAGTAGCTTTGCATGAGTCACAGACCAAAGTCCAAGAATATAAATATTCAAATGGAAATGTGCATGAGTCACATTTAAAACTGACCAGATTACTTTGAAATATGTTTTTTAATCTAAACAAACATAGTCTGGACGTTTGGAATTTCATGTGAATCAAATCATGTAAAAGCAAATGGGTGCTGGTGATGTACTGGATGGTTTTAACCACCTGAGGCAAAGCCTTCCCATACTGGGCGGCGCATATTCCCATACCAATTTGTGATTTTCCAGTTAGCACGCTTTCTATAGCTCCCTGACACGGGATTAGTCGTCTTAACATTCCTCAAGAAGATTTCTGAGCTTTCTTCGCCAGTGTGGAAGTGTGTGTCGAGCATGGCAGGTGTTCTGTGCATTCACCTTGTCCACCTGAGTGCGTGCCCTTGCCTTCTTTTTAGCTAGAACCTTTTAGATTAATAAAAATTAATTGATTATCAAATTTAATTAATTTAACATTAACTAATTTTTTAATCTAAGCACAGGTTACAAATGTGCATTTTGGACTGTACAATGTTTGTGTGTGTGTGTGTGTGTGTGTGTGTGTGTGTAATATACATTATATAACAATCAATTATGGAAACAATTATCCGATTGTCCTCTTTATGGCTCCTTTTCTATTGTTCTAAATATCTTTAAAATGGGTGGTGTATGGCACATGGAGCGCCAGCAGAGGGCGGTGACTCCCTTCTAAAGAGAAGAGGCTTGGCCATCAATGCAGGAGCTCCTTTGCCCTGTGTGTAGGGCTGAACGATATATCGCATTTGCGATAATATCGCGACATGATCAAGTGCAATTTTCTAACCGCAAAGGCTGCGATTATACTCTGGACATGTCCAAATTCATGGGCTGCATCC